TCCTGGCAATAAAGCAGAACAAATGACACAGGGAATAAGAGCGTTTCTTGCAAGATGATCACCTTGTTCTGTTTTCTTAGGCTTCATGCAAAAATCTGAAATGATCTGACATTTCTAGCACTCAGCTGAATCCAGCAGATATAAAGACCTTTTATTTGCCATAGGAATTGAGCGATATAATTCCTGTATTAACTTATTCTGAATTCTAAACTCTCAAGCTTTCATTTACTAAGAATATAATATGTGCAGCCGTAGTTTGAATGTGCGTTGCTCTAAAGTAACACTAGTATAAATGTAAACCATTTCCATGAGCTTATTGACTTAAAGTGATTGCTTTGATAAAGCAAAATGCTTGCTTTACTTAAGGCCTCATTGTTTGGTTTCAAAGGCCAGTCTCCTACTTTTTCCCTAAAGAAAAACTTCATTGTAATTCTTTGTCACTTTTACACATACTATCTATAACACTTATAAAAAGAATACTTCCTTATTATTCACCTTCTTCCGATTACACTAGAGGTTGTAAATATCATGGAGCAAATACAGTCAAGAAAATAAAAGCACAAAAATAGGACCACTGAAATGGCAGTACTATTTTTTTTTAAAAAAAAACTGTATTGCAGGTTTGTAATTCTGTTTTTTAACTGAATGGGTTAAAATATATTGTTGTTAGTTGCGAAGTCGTGTCTGACCCATCGCGACCCCATGGACAACGTTCCTCCAGGCCTTCCTGTCCTCTACCATCTTCTGGAGTCCATTTAAGCTCACGCCTACTGCTTCGGTGACTCCATCCAGCCACCTCATTCTCTGTCGTCCCATTCTTCTCTTGCCCTCAATCTTTCACAGCATTAGGCTCTTCTCCAGTGAGTCCTTCCTTCTCATTAGGTGGCCAAAGTACTTGAGTTTCAACTTCAGGATCTATATATTAACCTAGACTTAAAATACGTTGCATCTTCAGATCACTACTCTCCTCAATAACTTGATGATTACTTTTTTCTAGACATACCATATCTAGACTGAAAATTTTTCCCGCTCTTTGCTGTCATCTAATTGCCATATGGATTTCTGCAATCCAAGTATAGTATGCCCAGTCTTGCAAAATGCCTGCCTATTCTTGTTTCCGCAAGCTGACACTTTTCTCTACTGATTTTCAGTGCACTCATATGATTAATAATGTGTGCATAATATACTATATTATATACCATGACTGCACCATTGACTGGGAATTTCAGGCCATTTATTACACATTAACTGTGTGTAATATGAGAAAGCTTGGCAGTTTAAGCCATTTATGTATTTAGGAAGAAAATATGTATTTATTCATGTTTTTGTGCATTACTTTGTTTAGATGGAATCATGGAACCTGAAGTGCATAAATTAAAAAGGTGTTTGCCAGGATAAGAAATTTTATCCGGCCATTAGGTGACTGATTTTCAAAATACTTTCCAAAAGTCACATGGCTAAATGTAGGAACTAATTCAGAGGGTCAAAGGTGACAAGAAAGCAATTCATTACAAAAATAAGGACCAGGTGGAAACTATCTCCTCCATCCCAAACCAAAAGAGAGTTTACTGTTTATCATCTACCTTCTCATATTTAATACAAGTTGCTAAATACATGAAAATACAATTATCAAAGGATGCATTTGTGAAATTAAGGAAATGCTTTAAAGACAATAGCAAAGTACAAAAGTTGAAAGTTCCCTGATCCTGCTGTATTAGGTACAAAATGGATAATAAACTTACTGATATATAATATAATTAATAATTATTGATTTATTATAATTATAATAACCACATCCTGGGGGGAAAGATACCATTTTGGAAAAGTTTACACATTTGAAATATCTGCATAGCTTGATTCCTTAACTACTTCGTCAAACTGTCTGTCGCTAAAGTTTATACAGTACATTGTTTTGATTTAATCTATAAATCCCATCTTGTATGTTTCTATTCAGAAATGCTATAAATTCAATCCAACATAAAATAGTCCTGCAGGAATACATCAAGAACCATTCTGGTCAACATTTGTATAATATGCAAAAGGTGCAGATGCAGACGTATCTTCCTTGCCATTGTTCCCTTGCCACAGGATTTCAAAGGCACGATGCCCATCACACAGAAGGAACCCTAAGTCAAGAGCAATAGCTTTTGACAGACCTGCCCTCCATAATTTTTGTATTTTTTTAAGGTCATCTAAATTAATGACCATCACTTTCATGTGCTGCATGAAGCAGTGCTGATTTTGCCCTCCAATGAATTTCATGGGATGATGCATGGTTGTAATATTTTGAGAAAAAGAGACAAACTCTTCCCAATCTGCTATCACCATGCCATGGATGATTACATACATTTCAATCGTCACCTTTTCCCCAAGATGAAAAATTGCAAACCTTCTAGCTTTCTCTCACAATTCTGAGCCTTCTCCCACTTCATTATGTAGAGAACTGTATCCCAAAGTCTGTGATTAGACAACCAACAATCCTAATTCCAGCCTGATCCTGAAGATGAATTCCATTCTCATTCACCATTCATTTTCTAAGTGGTTGGAGATGAGTTAAGAAAATAATTCTTTGTGCATGGTCTGGAATATATTATTTTTTATGTACATGTATTTATAGCAGATCAACAACAAAATCTCTATTATTAATTCCTACCTGAACCTTTATTTAAAACCTCAAGGGCAAAAGGAGACAGTAGTAGTAGTAGTAGTAGTAGTAGTGGTAATAATAATAGTAATAGTAGTAGTAGTACTTATCTATATCCCAAGCAAGACCCAGGTGGTTGAATTGTCAGATGCCATGCTTCCAGGTGCTATTAGTAAGCATCAGATCTATTCAAAATAAAACTTCAATCATTTATCCTAATGATCATGTAGATTGATTTGGCACGTATTATTCAAATCTGATTAAATAGTTAGGAGATTTAGCCTGATCAGAAACCTGCCCTTTTGGTATAGAGTAACTTCAACCGTCATGCCCTCAAGTAAAAGATCTCATGTCATTTCTGAGTTCACAGCTTCAAACTGACTGAATTTGACACAAGTAACCACATCAAGAAACTACAAGGGTGTGCACCAATTGGATTAGGTCTTTCCTTGAAGTAAACCTGGTTATGTGAACTGGTTATGAAGGACATTAACATCCATCCCTGAGGAAGGATAGGAGGAGGGGGTACACTGTACACAGTGCTGAGCTCCTAAACCAAAGGCTAAATTTAAGAAAGCAGACAAGAAAGCTTGGCTAAATTATATGCCTAAAATTGAGTCCAAGGGTGAGTTGGTTATTGACAAGTTTTAGAGATGCTATTTGTTTTCCAAATAAATAAATGTTTTCTCCCACATGAGAACATAAATATGCAGGCCCAGGATAGAAAGAAGCAGCGTATGATAAATATTAAGGTCAACAATAACAATTTCTTAAAATATATTTAAATTTGGAAAGTGATAGGGAGGCTATGTGATGGGCTCAAGGAAGAGACATGGATTGCAGGGGCAATCAGGAGAAAAAAGCAATGCCTGTATCAGAGATGGATATTCTCTATATATTCTGTCATTTTCATTTTAATCAATTATAGCTTACTTGATTTATTTTTCTTTTGTATAAATGCTTTGCTGATTAGATAAGCAGGTAAAACATAGCCACACATGTACTGCCATCTTCCTACAGCACTGGGTGTGACAATGTATTTGCATCCTTCCTCTTAGTATAAAGAGGAATCCAGCTTCCTCATCTACAAAAAAATAAAAATAAAATCCCACATTTCTGATCAATGCTAGTTCCAGGAAATTGCTGAGCTGTGCAAGACAGTTCCTCAAAAGGGAAGATTTTACTTCAACCTAGGTATGTGTAGCCTTCTTTTTGCCTCAAACATATTTGCCTTAAACATATTTGCCCACAGAATTAATACAAATAGGCTCAGCAAATAAAGGGAGAAAAAATAGAATATTGATCTTCTTTTTAAGTTTTCATTGTCCAGGTTGAATATTCCCCTTTTGTCCCTGGAGCACCCAGTTACTTGGAGCTTGCCTGGTGAAATAATAAATTGATATTCGCTGAACCACCCTTGCTGCAAGCTTATCAATATTAATTGAGGTGGGCTGAGATGGGGAGGAGGGATCAGTGTGTGACCTTTCCCACCCTATGCTGGCTCAGATAGTCGAAACGTAGCCGAGGAGGAAGAAGCAGAACAGGTAATGGCATGTGGTTTTATTATCTTTCCTGCCCTAATCATATAAAAGCATAAATGTGGCTAGCTTTCAGAGTAAGTATGAAAGGCAGCCTTTATTGATAAACTTTAGGGTAAATTAATTCTGGTTGATCTGGAATTAGATTCTCTATTTCTACAGGAGAAAATCAGAAGCTTAAATATGATCAACTAGGGAAAGATTTAATGCCTGGAGTGTTTTTTTAATCGGAAATATTCTGCATGAGGTGTGATGAATGGAAACAAAAATACAAAAGAACAAAGCAATCTTACAGATCTTTCATTCTATTGTTAAGAGCAGTGGTGCACCGTAGCTCTTCTGGACATTTATTTGTGTGGCTTTGTTCTGCTAAAGAAAACTCAATTGTCTGTTAAACAATGTCCTTGAAGGGGTCTGGGAAATGATCACCAAGTGTTAGAGGATATATATTTTTCAAAATGAAGCATGCTAGAAAGTCAGCTTCTGTGCAACCAGAGTCAGCTTTTCATTAAAATGTTTTAAGAGCATTTGTTAATTTCACAAGGATTATTTTATTCAAAAACACATTTAAATCCTTTATTTCCCTTTGTTGTTGTTTTCATGTTTAAATAATTTTTTTAGCTCTTTTGTCTTCAGAAATAGTACATTTATTGTATATATTATTGAATTTCACATAAAGTATCATCCAGAAGTGTGTGCGTGTGTGTGTGTACACACACACACACACACACACATATATATATATGTCTATGGCATGCAATGTAGCACCGGTTAACAAAGCCATGGGTGTGTTTCCTCCTTCTTTGTCAGGGTTCATCATGTCTGACAAACCGGATTTTGCAGAAATTGAAACGTTTGATAAAACCAAACTGAAAAAAACTGAAACTAGAGAAAAAAATCCATTACCTACTAAGGAAAGTAAGTGATTTCTTTGTACAATTAATTAATCAGTGTGTATGATAGATAAATTGCCAAAGACCTACTTGACCACATTTCCTTGGAAACTGTTCATACAGATGTATGATCAGGCAGGTCCGGTTGAAATGAATGAAATGAATGAATTTATTCCTCAAATACCTACATACAGTGTATCTGCTTTCATAGCACTTTCAAAAAATGATTTCATATAGTCACATATGAAGGTATGTATGTTGGCTTCTTCCAGGACACAGTATGACTTTCAAGCTAATTGAACCACTCAGTGCCAAGCAAGACAATAATTTAATGTACACTTTGAACTGTTTATTTCATCTGATTTTCCTAAGGCATTGTGGCTGGAATTTCATATCTAAAATCTCATGTGACAAATACCCAAAGGGAGCTGTGAAACCGTTTCAGCAACATGCGCACACAAAGGATTTTGTATCTATTCAAAGACTGACAGATGCCTTGTGGCAAAAACAGTTATGCTACAGTAACCTACAAAAGCTGTGGTTATAATGAATTTTAAAGTTTTAAGGAGACACAACAATGTTTTTAAAAAACCGATAAATGCATAGCATTATTAACTATTGCAGACAATAGTATGCCATCAATTGAAAATTTACTTAGTGCTGCCCTCTGCTGGTTGGTAGTTAAATCCACCATATAACATTGCTTGATGAGGCTTTCACCTACAGCCGCAATCAGCCTTCTCTGCTGCAAGGCTTATTGTTTTTCTTGCAAAAAAAATAACAATTTAATATGGTAAATAGAAAAAAAAATTACTCAACGCATCCATTTTGCTATTCTTAATCTGAACTGTTTCCTGAAAGTTAATTTGTTGCAAGAAATTATATCACAGACCTTCTGACCTTCTCTGATCACTGCTAGTCTTAATGCTTTTCCCGTGAATGGAAGATTTTCCTATATTGGGTATGATATAAATTGGCCTACATCTCAATAAATGATACAGCATGCAGCTATATTTTGCAAAGGAGGGAATAAACAAAAGGATAGTTCCTCAGATTATTTCAGAGACAGATTCAGACACTCAGATAAAGGTATTCCTCAACAATTGCACTGTTTAGCGACTGTGTAAAGTTACAACGGTACTGAAAAGTAACTTTATGACTAGCCTTCAAACTGTGGTCACATGATTACCATTTGCAAGTTTCACAGCCAGCTTCCAACAAACAAACCAATAGAGAAGCTGGCAACAAAATCGCAAGTTGCAGGCAACATATCTCAGTTAATGACTGCGGTCTCTGTGGTCGTTAAGTGAAGACTAATTGGCTCCTTTGCATGTGTAAAATGTAAAACCATCTCTGCGATCAGGATAGCTGAGAAAGCTGATTGCAATCACCAGAATAGCTCCTAGCCCCTTCACCAGAACTTCGCAAGATGCGGGAGAAACGTATTTCTATGATCCTATGAAACAAAGCCATTGGATTGTAAAAGCCTTGTCTGTGCCTCTCCTTCTGAGTCCTCACCTGTTTGCAAAAACACCCTTTTTCTTGCCCAGAATGAGGAAAGAGAAGACATTAGATATCATCTCACAACCTCTGTCTGGCTTCAGGAGTTTTAGTGCTGAGTAAATCTCATGTTTTAAAAATGAACAAGATTTGGGATAAAATACCAAACACAGAAAGAAAGAAAGAAATAGAAAGCAAATACAATAAGTATGTTGCTTTACTTTATTAGTATTTTACCTGCCATGATTTTACAGAGGAGAGTTGCTGGTATAAATTAGTGCCTTATCTGCCTCTTTTGGGAGCACTTGATCCTGTGCATTGACTAAGAATCATGGGATTCTTTTGCTGTCTTCTGTTACACCTCCTTTCAGGGGCATAACTAGACATCAAACCCCCTCTTTGTTTATGCATTCTCGGGACTGCATTCTATGTGCGTTAACAGAAAAGATACCTCTGGTGGAAGGGATTCCTCCTTCTCTCATATAAAACCTTCCCCCCCCCAAACCAGTGGTTGGATTCAGCCAGTTCGCACCACTTCAGCAGAAACGGTAGCTAATTTTTTGTTGCCTAAGCCCAGAATGGACTTCCGGAAGCAGCATCCACACAGAGAACTGGTTGTTCACATATTTGAATCCCATCACTGCCTCAAACTCTATATTTAATCTAGAGACTTGTGGGACGCTCAGAGCAGTTTGGGAGGAGGCAGGGAGAGAAAGAAGCAATTTTGTTGCATGAGCCTTAAGTCCTTTCCATGTGATGTTGAACTGAACTCCCGAAATTTTTGAAACACTGGGTCTGTCCACTAACTGCATCAGAAAAATAACAATTTACAGAGTTAGCAATCTGATCTCTAGGACTATAATTTGTCATTTGTTAATAGAAAAAGGCAATATTTAAAAAAAAAAGTCTTGTCAAGCACAGCAGATGTTTGATACAAGAGAAAGGATTCTGGTACCTTCCAGTCTTATTAAAATATCCAATTGTTGGGCCAGTAAGCAATATGAGAGAGCAACTAGATTTCATACCAAGCATCAGTTGACTTTGTGCCCGTAAAGGAGAAAATAAAGGGCAATAAAGATGGACCAGTTAATATATGCAGTTGATGAAACTTTGTCATTTATTTTTAGTGTTAAGAATATCTTGCACCTGTAGAAAAACATTAGGACAGTGTTGCTGATGATGATAATGTTTATCCTCTCATATTTCCAAAAAGCTAAAAGTGACATCTATCCTTCCATTTATTCTAACAAAGCAGAGCGTGGAGTTAAATTATTTTCATTCCCCTGAGTCTCAACAGATGGCAGCACCTAACCAATCTTGGCTGATCTAGAAAGCTAAGTAGTTTTAGTATTGATTAGTACTTAAAGGGGGACCAGATAGCAAGTTGAGACTGTGAGAAGGCAGTAACCATCCAGTTCTGCACCATGCAAGAAAGCTGCAAGAATGTTTTTAGTGTAAAACCCCCACAGGTTGAATTCACTTCGAAGTCAACTTTTCCCCCATTCTAAATTCAAGCTGCTCATTTAGGAGTCTGTAATGGGTAACAGGTAGCCCTTGACTTATGACCACAGTGCAGCTCAAAATTTATATTGTAAGCGAGAGATTTGATAAGTGAGTTTTGCCCCATTTTACAACCTTTCTTGCAACATTTGTTAAGTGAATCACTGCAGTTGTTTAGTAACAGGTTGTTAAGTACATCTGGCTTCCCCATTGACTTTGCTTGTCAGCAAGTTGCAAAAATTGATCACGTGACCCCAGGACATTGCATCCGTCATAAATATGAACTGGTTGCCAAGCATACATGCACAACCAGGACAATGCTGCAATGGTCGTAAGTGTGAAAAATTGTCATAAGTCATAAGTCACTTTTCTCAGTACCATTCAACTTCAAACTGTCACTAAACAAATGGTTGTAAGTCAAGGACTACCCGTACTGCAGTATCTCTTCAGTGTAAGATTGGGAAAGGTAGGCCTTAAAATTATTTTGCCAGACAGATACAGTAGTAAGCTATGGGATTCTGTAACTCTTAATTTAGGAAAAAGGCCTGTTTGCAGGACATTTGTGTTGGGCAGCCCGAGGTCCTGCCCTGGACTGCCTAGAGCAGCGGTTCTCAACCTATGGGTCGCGACCCCATTTGGGGTCGATCGACCATTTCACGGGGGTCGCCAAGCAAGGCTGTCCGCCATTTTTTTCCTCTTTTCCGGCGGGTGCCTTACCTCCCTTGAGCTGGGCCAGCTGGTGGTTGGCCTGCTCCGTCTCTGCCGCTTGCCAGCTATGCCTCGGCCGGCGCAGGGGGCGGAACCACGCATGTGTGGCACTCCCGGGCAGGGAAAGTCCTCGACTTACGACCGGTTGGGTAGTCCTTGACTTACGACTGGTTTAGTCCTCGACTTACGACCGGTTGGGGCTTGCGGCATTAAAAAGGTTGAGAACCACTGGCCTAGAGCCCAGGAAATCTCGCCTGACTCTAATTGCCAAGACAGAAATCCGGTTTCCCACTATTTTGAGGTGACAAATAGAAACTGGAGTAGATTGGAGTAAAATATCATAAAGTTGTTATTGAAAAACAAAACATTCCCATTCTTAAAAATGAAGATGATTGTACATGTCCCCGGAATGGTGCAATTCTCATCCTTTCCTGTGCTGAAACTTGTGTGTGTGTGGGGAAATCGAATCAAATCGTGGCCCTCTGCATGTACGACACGGCTCTACCCAAAAGAAAGGCCTACCCCGAAAATAAACCCTGCCTTGATTTTTTGGGGGTGGACCTAATATAAGCCCTACCCCAAAAATAAGCACTAGTTTTGGGGTGAGGCACACACCTAAAAATTAAGCTAGGATGGGGGGGGTGGTGTGGAGCTACCCCACGCACCCCTCACCCACTTACCTTGCAGCCAGGCCTCTCCTCACCAGCCCACTTCTTCTGCGGTGTCTTCTGCAGCCAGGCCTGCATTTCTCAGTCACAGGCCTTTCTGGGAGGCCACTGCAACCGAGAACAGAGCTATGGATTCAATCCATAGCTCAGTTCTGCAAGACCTCTGCAGCCGAGAACAGAGCTATGGATTCAATCCATAGCTCGGTACTCAGCTGCATAGGCCTTCCGGAAAGGCCTGACTGTGAAATGCAGGCCAGAATGCAGCTGCAGAATGAAGCTGCTCCTTTGGCCGCAGAAGAAGTGGACAGGCTGGGGGGGGGGCGGTCAATGCTGGAGGTGAGTATAAAAGACACGCTCGAAACATGGTATTATGTCATTTCCCCCAATGCAAAATTTCCTCCTGATGTTAAAGATCACCATATAGGCCTGTGGTGGCGAACCTATGGCACACGTGCCATAGGTGGCACGCAGAGCCATCTTTGTGGGCACGCGCGCCATCACCCCAGAGGGACGCGGGGCTGGGCTGCTCTCCTCCGCCTCTACATGTGCGCCAGTGCTCTCGCTCTCTTTCTCTCTGCAATGGAGTCAGGGAGCAGCTGCAAGAGCTGGGCGGATCCGGGCTGGATGATGGAGGCAGGGCTTTTTTTGACATAGAACGCAGGCACCTTTTTTTGAACAGAACCTGCCAGGGCGAGTCCAGGTGTGCCTCCAGAGCGATTTTGCAGACCTCCAGCAGCCCGATCCGGGCTCCGGAGGTCTGGAAAAGGCCTCTGCCATCCGGATCTATGGCTGCAGAGCGATTTCAGCCCCTCCCCATGACCGATCCGGGCTCCAGAGGCCTTTTCCAAGCGTCCGGAACCTGGACGATTTTGCAGCCCCCCCCAGTGGCCTGATCAGGGCTCCGGAGGCCTGGAAAAGGCCTCCAGAGCCCGGATCCATGGCCGCGGAGGCCTGTTGGATCTTTTTTTTTTTTTTTGCCTATCAGTGTGGAAAGCGCTCATCTTGGTTGCACTGGGCTTCCAAACAGGTGGACGTACCATTTGCTGAAAAAGGGGTGGGTGGGTCGTGCGAATCTGAAATACTTCATTTTAAGCTGTGTTACTGGAAGCCTTACGTGTTGCGGTTCTAAAGCGGAGGCCCTAGTAAGCTTTCTCTCTGTTCCATCAGTCTGGTTTACTCAACTAAGTATGTATATCCTTTTTTTTTACTCTTTCTATCCAACATAGCCTTCTTCCATTCTTGTAACATGCTGTATCTCCATAGCATTCGCAAAATTATCTCCATAACGTTCCCTCTTTTGTGAATGCCCCATTATCTTAAACATATCCCTCTTTCCCCAACTCTCCTCCCTCCCTTCTTTTCATCTGTCACCACATTTCCTTTCTGCACCTCTGTTCTTTTCATCCTATTTCATTCCTCATCAGTTCCTTTTTCATACCTGTATTTGTACATAAATAGCAACAGGTTGTCAACCATTTATGCAGGCTCAGACCTTATTGTCACAAAGTGTATGCAATGCATGAGCAAGCACATATATGCTTTATTTTTATCTTGCATGGAAACATTTGTTGTTCCATCAGAGATTCAGGAAGACACATAGCACCGTTTACAAGGATTGATGGGTAACTGCCCTTACTGCACATATTTTTTTAACATATTATAAAAACCATGTATTGTCAACAACAACAACAAAAGAAAATGCCTGCATATTTATGTGTGTTTTTGCATTCATCAAAAACTACTGTCGCTTTTGTAATTTTCACCTACTTCTTCCCATTCTCTAAAGACAATAACATTTTTGACAACGTGTATACATACCATGTTATTGGAATATGAAGCACAGTGCAATGCATTGTACACTTTATATGGATTCAGACAGTTTCACCTCAGACCAAAGGAATCAATTTCACACATGGCACACAAACAACCCTCCTTCCTTCCTAGACTAACTGAAGCCTAGTCAAGACACACTGATATGTGTGCACACACAAACACATATACATACACACACGCACGTGCGCACACACACACATAAAGACAGACAGACAGCTATGTACATGCATTCTTTCCTTTCTTGCATTGACTTAATTTATCCCCTGCCCACCAAACTTCATTTACTCTGAAAGAGAGTAACCTATAGATGGGGGCATATGGAACAGAGGGAGGTTTAATTCCATGCCAGCCAGCTCATCCGGCAGGTTGCTAGAGGCTGTGAATCTCAAAGTGCGTATTGTTGGGATGCTTTGGGGTGTTCAACAGGTCCAACTATATGCAAGAGAGAGGATCCCAACTCCCCCCCCAGAGTATGAACCCTGCTTTGCTGATAGACATTTATATTTAGCATGGTTATTGAGTTAATCTATTTTTCTGGATTTAACCAGTGTAAAGGAATAATCTATATGTCGAGGAATTCGACTTTGGAAATGGTATTGAAATACATACCCTCGGATAGCAGAAAGCATTTCTGTCTCTTCCCCCCCCCCCAACTGGGATAAGAATACTTGATAAAAGCAAATTTTGGCATTATTTTACTCCAGTGGCCAATCAGATGCAGAGGGAAACTAAAACTGGACAAGAAACCGACAGTAACTCTCCATTCTGTGTATAGAAGGTGTAGTTTTGTATAAGGAGAAGAAAGATAAAATAAATAACACATGCTGGATAAACTAATACTGTAAACTCCAACTGTACTTGTAGTATGACAGCAGTTAAATCAGTGGTGCCCAGTGCTTTTTTTGTAAAAAGAAAAAGGTGCCGGAACTCACACACGTCATACAACCCACCTTGCCTACCCTACAAGGTTCCATCCAAAAAAGGTGCCAAAACTCCGTTCTGGGCGTTCTATGACAAAAAAAAAGCCCTGCTGGTGCCACATTTCAAAGTTACAGTTAGAGTACTCCGATTGCAGCTGCTTTCTTGCAGGTATGTGGAATGGCGTGGGACCCACAGTTTTTGCAAAGTGAAGAGAGGAAGTTGGTTACAGCTTATTAGGAAAGATAAAATAGACAAGCAAGAATGCTTTATTGACCATTCTTCATCCAGATTTTATATCAGTTGCATCTGCTAATACAGGTGTTCTGAGACATTCTTCCGTTTTAACTTTTTTTCCTTGTTGCTTGAGTTTTCATGCTGCTTTCGTGAAAGGGCAGCATTTGGGAGGGGGTGTAGCTGCCCCCTTCCCCCCCAAGCCATCAGCTGAGCAAGATGCCCGCCTGCCCCCGCTCTTCCCCCGTCTGAGGCTTTTGTTGTTGTGAGCATTTCTGTTGAGGATTGGCGGGGGGGGGGCTGTTTGGTTTTTATTCCCCTCCCATCTGCTGGGTGGTTGCAGCAGGTTTTGGTCTCTTTTGTCGTGCTTTGAGATTACCCACGAAGCACGTTTGTTTTGGGGGGGATCCCCACTCCGGTTGCTAAGCTTGCTTAAACCCTCTTCTACCTCCTCCTTCTCACCGGAGCCCCTCTTTGTCTGCAACCAATCCCTGCCCCGGACTCTGCCTCGCCTTGCCCCATGGCAATGGTACCCCCTCCCTGCCCCCTCCCTTGCCTCACCTCATCCTGCAGGACAAGCCTCATGCCCACTGCCCCACCAGCCAGAGACCCCCTGGATCTCCCCCAACCCTGCCCGACCCCCACAATTATCCCTCCCCAGGAGCAACATTGAGGTGGCCAGGCCCAGCCTGCCCACACCCACCCATGCTGCCATGACTACCGTAGCCATGCCCACCCAGGGGCCACGCCCACCCAGTGGGCCACGCCCACCCGGCACCCGGCGATACATAAGTGGGTTTTGGGTTGCAGTTTGAGCACTCGGTCTCTAAAAGGTTCGCCATCACTGATATAGGCAATAGTTCAGAAGGTTTCAACTGTTAATTATCTCTCTAATTAACTAGTCAATTGACTATGATACACCTGAATATTTTATTTCTATTCAACTGATCAACATTCTTTTCTCAAACCTCACAAATCTTTCTTCCAGCACTGCTGAACCACTTGATACAAGAAATAGAGCGAAATTATTGATCTGCAACATTGGTTGTGTTAATCTTTCATAGTTGCTAAAGCATTTGTTTTGCACAAATTAATAACAATGAAAAAGACTTATTTAATTGTGTACGTAATTTTTTTTAAAAAAATCTGTACAAATGTCAAATGTTGACAAATCATGTTTATCTTGTTCTTGTTTGTTTATTTGTTTTTACAGCTATCGAACAGGAAAAGCAAAACAAAAATACACCTTGAAGTTGAATCAGAAGATATGGCTAACATCTCCTGCTATGGGGTTTTAAGTTTGACATTTTAAAAATCTGTTATTAGTTGATGTATTCTGCTTTTTCAGAAATAGCCCTTTTTTTTTACTTCCCCCCCCTTTATTAAAACAGCAAGGGTCATTTAATTTAGAGCAATTCTCTAAAGCCAATCAAAACACCATTTATAATTTCCCAAAGACACTACATATTGTGTATTGAATATATATGTGAATTTGCCAAAAATGTATTCTTTTGTTGTTTGTCAACAGAAACTATTATTTTCATATACTATCTGATATCGAACCCCACAATAAACCAGTTTCTGATGTGTTGCCCTTGTTTAAACTTACATTTTCAAATTCAAAAAAAGTTGTACATCTTGATCAAAAAGTCTGTCTATAAACATTCTTAATAATAAGTTTTAATTTCAGACCACAACTAAATATGTTTTTGTCCATAATAGACATGGGCACATAACAAAAATGTTTGAAGATTGTTGGGATAATGTCACAACAAATTATTCTTTTTCTAATTTTTTGCAAAATTGAAGTTTTGAATGCCCCCACATGATCAAATATATATTTCATCCTGATATGAAAACAATATGTGTATGCTTCCATAAGACAAGGTTACATACTAATTGATCACACAGGAGCATATTTAACGGAAACCTTGTAAATATTAATATTAACCCATTTTACCTTCAGATAAAGGATCACAGGTTTGAGTCTTAATCCATATGTCTTTCTAATAGAAAAATGAAATCAGTATTTGGATCTTATCTAATGACCCATCCATGTTTGTTTTATGGACTGCTGCCCCTGCAGACATCTGATGAGCATGATATCGGGAGATTCTGAACAGACCCAAAACTACACTTTCCATCTTAAAGTTAGACAATGGATCTGTTGGAGCTGGGGGGTTATACATTCAAATAAATTATTATAATAATAAATAATATTAGCACAAGACAATTAGCTTCAAAAGCTTAGGCAATTTAGTAGACAACAGAGCTATAAAAGAAGCAGCACGATTGTGAATTATTAGTATTAGGAAATACCGATAGGTCATAAACTCTTTTCTGCTTCCTCTTCACTTAAGAGAAGGGCTACTTTGAGAAACTAAAGGGGAAGGACTAGATAACCTTTTCAGCTGATCCACCTATCTTTTTCTCTAACACTATTGTAAGAATAAAGATTAACTGTCCTGATCTAAAATATATTTGGGCTGAGGGAAGAGCTTGATTTTGCAGTGCAGCTTGTTTTTCACTAGAGGGTACTTTTCCATCATTGTACTGCATCTGCTTAAGTGTCAACATGTATGAGAAGCATCTGGTTCTCTCTCTCTCTCTCTCTCTCTCTCTCTCTCTCTCTCTCTCTCTCTCTCTCTCTCTCTCTCTCTCTCTCAGTAAGAAACATTACTGTTTTATAAAAAATGCTTTCACAAAATAGTCTTTATATTTCTTTTTAAGGCACATTTTATTTTATTTAACTCTACTACTATTAAAACACTCTTTGACATTGCTGCTTTAAAGATGTCAGGTAGGTTGCTTTTCAGAGAGAGTTGTAAGTTAGGAAATGCCACATGTGTAGATACAGAAAAATATAAATTTCTATTTACCAATACTACATAGACCAGGGGTCCCTAACCCCCTGTCCGTGGAGCAGTACTGGTCCGTGGCATGCCAGCAACCAGTCCACACAAACAAGCAAAGGCCCATCCGCGGGATGCAGGCAGCACACAAAACCACGCACTCTCCGGTCTGCGGAAAAACCTCTCTCCAAGGAATCGGTCCCTGGTGCCCAAAAGGTTGGGGACCTCTGACATAGACCATTTTTAAGAAATGGACTTCAAAAGTTTTCTTCCACTGTATTCATGGAGTATGCTTTTAAAAATAAGTCCAAGAGCCCTAACACTGCGCCACTTATCTTTATGTACGGCTCAGGCACATGGAGGCTGCAAGATACAAGTTACTGCATATTTATCTGTGTAAAATTATTTATTTTTATTGAATCCAGCAAATAAGATCAACGAGCAAACAGAAATGAGTCACAATCTTATTTTGAGAAGTAAAAGTATGCAATGTTGAATATGTCTTGGATAATATTATCAACATGCATTGCTGCGTGCATGAATCAGGATGTTATCAAAATAAGGATCAGTTTTAATATTTTAAAGAAATCAAAGCTTTGAAAATGTGCTGTGCACCCTGAAATTAGTTTCTTCTCTAACTGATGAAGCACCACTTGCTAGATCTGTCCTCAGGTTAACTGCCATTTCCCCCACCCCCTACAATCAATTTAAGATACATATAAGAATCATATGAATACTAGGAGAAGCTTATCTCACTTCCCCCAAGAATAAAATTATGCAGGACTGTATCTACAGTATGTCAATAATCTATGCTCTTGGAGAAGATTAATACTAAATCTAGCACAAGATCACTTTATTAATTCATCAGGAAGGTTACAACGCCTTCCTGAACAAAACTACTTGGAAAAATACAGAATGCTTGGACAGAGCTGAAACACAATGCTAGATTCTTTTTTTTAGTGGGAAAGGTAGATATCATTTGCATTTTCAGTAATTAGGTTTAGTCCTTTGTATTTCAAAAATCCTGCTAGAAACTGTGAAGTGCCATTGTTATAACAGTGCATTTTTATTTTCTTTTGTTCATCAGAAAAAGTCTCAAATATTTTATTTTATTACCATTGTGGAAGAAAATGTCCTTTCTGGAATTATCCTTCAGCTATGCATATTAATGTTATATTAAGGATACTTCAGTCTGCAGGCCACATACCTGCTTATTGCAAACTTCAAAGAAAAGGAGATGTTCATTTTTTTTCCTTTGAGAAAGAATGGAAAGACATTGAGTAAGGGTATGGGAGAGTAGCAGCAGCTCTAGGGCACGGGGCTGATATGTTTGAAAACATAAAGTGTTGTCCTTTGGCTTGTATGAATAAGAATATTCTTAGCTTAGCATTAGCAATGCCCTGTCTAGGCTGATGGCTATCTGACCCTAGGCTACAGACTAATACCCACCAGACGCCCAGGTATGATGAATGTTTAACATAATTCAATTTGCACACTAGATACGTCTTATCACAAAGCTTCAGTCCATCCCCAAAGCTTCAACCCAAAGCTGCAAATTCCTGTAGATAACATTTCCATAGAACACATCTTCAGGGACAGCATATATTATCCCCTGCCAAAATAAACAAAATCAGTCACATGCCATAAGAGTTTAAGACATTTCAATGTATGACTATATTAGAGCTATAGGGTGAATTCAGATTAGCACTTAACAAAATTCTCTCTGCTTGTGGGACAATAATGAGGGGTAAGAATAAGATACCTTATTGTCCTTGCAGCCCCAAGTGCCACTTGAAAAAAATGTGAAAACTGGGACTCCTATTGTCCAAAGAATGGCCCATCTGAATTTAGCCTGTTTGAGAAAATGATTGATATTGCTTTTTTGATCAGATGCAAAGACAGAAGAATATTTTGGGGAGACAAACCAAAGTATCCTGAAAATCTGTCCTTTCTGAATGATCTTGACATGATTGTCATGGACAGATTGTCAGGATAATTTGTCCTCAACTTGACCCTTTAGCTTTTGCAATAGTGAAATCAGCAATCAAACTGAATCCATCCTCCTTGCTACTGTTCATCCTCTTCTTTCTCTTTCCACTTTATCCATCATTATAGACTTCTCCAAGGAGCAGACTTCTGCATAATGTGTTCATAATGTATTATAATTTAAGCCAGGTAATGTCTATCTAATGAGAGAATTAGATAGAATGTGAGATGCAAAGAATTCTGTCTTTGCACCTGATCAAAAAAGCAATATCAACCATTTTCTCAAACAGGCAAAATTCAGGTGGCTTGTTTTGTTCTACCCGAGCCATTTGTTCTTTGTCTAAACATAATATTCTCAAGAGTTTACTTCAACACCAAAATTAAAAAGCATTAATATCCTGCTTGTTCTGCTTGTTCAAAGTCCAACTTTTATATTCATAGACTATCAGAGGGAAAACCATTGCCTACACAATTCTGATCTTTGTAGGTACAGACATGACAGGAGCATCTGGGTACCTTTTCCGGAGCTGTCATTGCTATCCTACCAAGTGCTAGTCTGTAGTTTATTTCTTCACTGCTAGTTCCTTTGCTTTTGATAGTCAATCCTTAAAAAGCAGAAGTTATCTAGCACTTCAGTATATTCACTGTCAGTTCTAAGGCTGTCTATTATAGCTGTTGTCTCCTTGATATTTAATCTTAGTCTCATTTTTTCATTGTGCAGCTTGACTTTAAATACTACAGCTTTAAGATCATTTGCATTTTCACTATCAACCTAGTGCAGTGGTGGCGAACCTTTTGGAGACCGAGTGCCCAAACTGCAACCCAAAACCCACTTATGCATCGTCGAGTGCCGGGTGGGTGTGGCCCATTGGCTGGGCATGGCCCATTGGTTGGGCATGGCCCATTGGCTGGGCGTGGCTGCGGTGGTAACGGCAGACTGGGTGGGACTAAAAAGTTCAATCAATCAATTCCAACTTTGCAAGATATTTTTTTTCCCCACGAGAAGTTGAAATTGACCGATTGAACCTTTTTTTTTTTTTTTGCACATGGCGGCGGAGGCCTAAAGCGAAAAGGTTTTATAAAACCCAGCTGAAGGCCTAGGACTGGGGCGACAACACGCGTGCCCACAGAGAGGACTCTGAGTGCCGCCTCTGGCACCCGTGCCATAGGTTCGCCACCACTGACCTAGTGTCTTGAGTACAGAACAAGGAAATGATGTTTCTTCTTCCAATTTTAAAATCACACCCTTCTTCTTCCAGCCTCCTGCAAAATATATTAAGTAAATAAGGTGGCAGTATACAGCCTTGTCTCATTCCTTTGCTGGATATGGAGTCAGTCTGTTCCATCAAGTTCTATTTAGACTGTGGCTTCATCTCCTGTACATGGATTTCACTTGAGGTGAATAAGATGTTC